GAATCGAGAGCGATTGTGCTCTGAAGCGGATCACAAACAGCAGAGGCCTCAGCGAGCACTAAGGCCCCCCACTAAGCCTCGTAAGCCCCTTAGTCGGGGCAGATGGAAGACTGAGATTACTTGCCTCTCTCTTTCGCCTTTACCGTCACCTCTGCAAGGGTGCACTGAGAAGCAATGAGGGTCCCGCTCATGTGTCGACGCGGGTGATGCAATTTAGTGATGCAAGGAAACCAAGTGAGTAGAGGATCTAGGAGAGGAAAGTGAAGGTGGGGTTTCCACAGAAGAAGTTAGGGTGCTCTCCTGGGAGCTTTCTGCATGGAGCATGGCTAATCCAGAGCAGCCTCCATCTTTACAGCTGAGAAGGGAAAAACCATAAAAAAGCGTCGTCTCTGTTGAGTGTAGATTTAGGGCGAGGCTCTGGCTAGAAGCCCTCACACTGCTGCATGAAAAAGAGCAAACAAGCCTTCCCATCACGTCAAGGCTCAGAGCCATGTGAGCAGCCAGGGACGCCTGGTCAGTAAGTGCACAACAAGGTGGACAGGCAGGGGTCCACACAAGGTGCTCGGTGTACCTACTTCATGCTGATCATCTGTAAACATCTGGGGACAACGAGTCCTACCAGTTCTTGGGAGGAGGGGTTGACTCGTTCCTGCATTTTGTTCATCTGGTGATTACATTTCAGAAGTACTGCACAATTTAGAACATGCCCAAAACTGATGTTAAAGATAAAAATCATCATGCTCCATGTTAGATGATGCACAACGTCATTCGGTTCGATCAGAGTTTGTAGTTTTGTTGCAGATCTTAAAAAGGCTGTCTCGATATTGTTGCTTTTCTGGCACTGAAATATGTCGTTGGGCCAGAGCTAGATCTCCACATGCTATTGATCGTTGTTAGAGTGTCAGAGCAAAATCACAATGAAGCTATTGTTTGGTCCTTAGGCACACAAACCAAACAAATCTAAAAAATATTAAGTCTATCGGTCAAAATTTCCAAATAAACAGCAGAGTTTTTTATTTTTGTTTAGTGATGGTAAATACCCTAAAGAGGCCATATCATGGAAAATCCACTTTTTGGAGCTTTTATAACATGTGAGATTATTTCCTCATGAAAAATACCCCCAAACCCGTTTTTGGCTGCATGCGTGCATTTTCCTGTCTCAGTTGCAAGTTTTTCAGATTCGGAGGAATAACCTGCAGACACGAGGATGAAAACTAAGTGCATCATCAGACATTTCTCCTCCTTATGAAGCTAATCTCGGATCTGAAACCCACCTCCCCGGAAAGTAGGTAACTCCCACTTTCTCTGAGTTGCAAGTGTAGAGCAGCTGATTTCATGCTGCATGTATGTGCACCATCTTGAAACCTTAGCATTACACGTCGGAGTGAACTGATGAAAAATTGGAGTGAATGCAACTGAAGGTGCTGGAACAGCTAATCTTAGCCACCACAAAAATACTTTAACTCACGCATCCTGGCAGATGTGACTGATGTCTGAGCCATTCACCTCACATAATCTGAAGAAGAAGAAGAAGAAGAAGAAGAAGAAGAAGAAGAAGAAGAAGAAGAAGAAGAAGAAGAAGAAGAAGAAGAAGAAGAAGAAGAAGAAGAAGAAGAAGAAGAAGAAGAAGAAGAAGAAGAAGAAGAAGAAGAAGAAGAAGAAGAAGAAGAAGAAGAAGAAGAAGAAGAAGAAGAAGAAGAAGAAGAAGAAGAAGAAGAAGAAGAAGAAGAAGAAGAAGAAGAAGAAGAAGAAGAAGAAGAAGAAGAAGAAGAAGAAGAAGAAGAAGAAGAAGAAGAAGAAGAAGAAGAAGAAGAAGAAGAAGAAGAAGAAGAATAAGAAGAAGAAGAAGAAGAGAAGAAGGAAGAAGAAGAAGAAGAAGAAGAAGAGAAGAAGAAGAAGAAGAAGAAGAGAAGAAGAAGAAGAAGAAGAAGAAGAAGAAGAAGAAGAAGAAGAAGAAGAGAAGAAGAAGAGAGAAGAAGAAGAAGAAGAAGAAGAAGAAGAAGAAGAAGAAGAAGAAGAAGAAGAAGAAGAAGAAGAAGAAGAAGAAGAAGAAAGAAGAAGAAGAAAGAAGATATAGAATTTTCTATAGCGCCCTCAAGATAAAAATCACGAGGCGCTTCACAAAAACAAAAAAAATGTAAAAATATAAAAAAGCATTTAGAAAATGTTTAAAAATATTTTTAAAATGAGCAAAAAATAGGCATTTGTGATTAAAAAAATGTTAAGAAAGAGAGAGAGTGAACAGGAAAGAGGGAAACCAGTGGATCCTGAGGAAGGTGGGATAGGTGGGGAGAGCAGAATAAAGAAGAGAGAGGTGAAGAAGGTCATACAAAAGCCAGCTTGAACAAGTGAGTCTTCAGCTGCTTTTTAACAGGAGACCACTGAGTCCACTGATCTCAGGCTCAGGGGGAGAGAGGTCCAGAGTCTGGGGGCCACAGCCAGCAAATGATCTGTCACCTTTGACCTTTAGCCTGGTGCTGCACAACCAGTAGGCTTTGGTCACTGGACCTCAGGGACCTGCTGGGGGTGTAGGGACTAAGAAGATCACCAATGTAAGATGGTGCTTGTCCATGTAAGGCCCTATAGACCAGAACCAGGATCTTGAAATGAACCCTGAAGTTGACTGGCAGCCAGTGAAGCTGGAGGAGAAGCGGGGTGATGTGGGTGTGTTTGGAGGACTTGGTCAGAAGCCGAGCACAGGCGTTCTGAACCACCTGTAGACGGTTCAGGGAGGTTCTGCTCAGACACGTGAAAAGAGAGTTACAGTAGTCTAAGCGTGAGGAGATGAAGGTGTGGAGAACTGTCTCAAGTTCAGAGCGGGACAGAATGGGACTCAGCTTAGCAACGTTCCTGAGATGGAAGAAGGATGAGAGAACAAGGGTTGACAGATTATGTCCAATCTCACTTTGAAGACTGGATCATAACAGCTGCAATGCCATTATCTATCTCACTCAGTGACTGCTGGAGAAAATAAATGAATTCATTTTTCAAAATAATTTTTTTTAATCCAAACTTAAATGTTTTATAGTAAGCTTCATGAAACTCTAGTAAAGTTCATCTATGAAACCGAGTCTTGTTAGCAAATCAGCATTTTTACACTATTTAGGCCAAAGTGTGACTTCTGCTTCTCACACAGCTTTCTCAGGATTCCCTCTAACCACAGCTGCTCAAGCTCTGTGTGTTTCAAACACACCGCTCACGTTGCTCCTCTTTTTTAATTCCCATGGCTGTCACCTCAACCACGGGCGGTACAACACATTCTCGTGCTCTCCAGGTCTCCAGAAAAATATCAAACTCCAAAGCCAAACGCGTGATGACCACTGATATGTGGTTTGTAGTGTGTTTTTTCGGAAAAGGGCAACAGAAAATGTGTTAATACTGTTGGCAAAGGGGACTGGGTCCAATGCTGAACAGTAAGACTATTGTCTTGGTTCTGTTGGACCCTGCTTGGGAGATTAAGCATCCAGAGATGAGGTACAGCGAGAGGGGGGTGAGGGAGGGGGTCTCAGGTTGATTTGAAGAGTTTGGATGGTGGTTTGGAGTGTGCTGCAGGGGAGGGGGCTCTCTCCATATCTATCCCTCTCTTTTTACACGAGAAGTCGACGAGGGCGGCTGGAGGCACGCAGTGTGTTGTGGTGCTGAAGAGCCATGTGGTTTGTGTTAGTGAGGAGAGGGCGTCTGGCACCAGCACAGAGAGTGGGCGGTGCGGAAGGAGTTTAGGATGAATGAAGTTGAGAGGTTACAGGACATTCGGATTTTCAGATACATGAGAGAATCTGACATTGCACCGAGAGAAAGACCGGGATGTTGTTATCTGCGTTTTTAGACGCATTTGACAGCTAATCGTGAAAAAAGACTAGCACAACATGCAAACTTGAGATTCTTTAATCCCCAGCGCCTTCTCACGTGTGTTGCAAATTCATGCAGACACTGAATATTATTGCTGTGAGTTAAAATGATGCATACTTTTGGCTGGTTTTATTCAGTGCACATATCATTTATGGCAGGGGTGTCAAATATGCGGCCCGCGGGCCGAAATCCGGCCCGCAAGCGGGTTAAATCCGGCCCGCGAGATGGTTGTGTAAACTTTATTTTCATACTTTACAATGTAGAGTGAAAATAAACTTATCTTTGTGAGCAAGTTTTCTCTGTAATGAGTATAAATAAAACAAAGCTGCGCTCAAGGCTCACACAAGAACTTGAATCCCATCCTGAAGTTGGCCGCCACTCAGGATGTGACTTCTGATGTTGATGTTCTGGTGAAAGCTAAAAGATGTAAAGTAAAATGAGTCAAATACACTTTAAGTGCTGCATGAAACTGATCTTGCCATGTGATCTGTAAGCTCTTTCAATCACTAAGGAATGTTTTTTTTATTGATTTTTTTTTTTTTTTTCAAATTTTCAAGTACACTTCAGGTGTTGTACTTGTACTACACTGTCCTCAGGCTCCAGCCTTGTTTCATATTGATTGTATTAAAACAAAGAAAACAATCAGAAGTTTTTTTTTTATTTACCGGTCCGGCCCACTTGGGACTAGATTTCCCTCGATGTGGCCCCTGAGCTAAAATGAGTTTGACACCCCTGATTTATGGGTTAGGAGTGAGTCGCCCTCAGACGGAGGAATTTAAGGATCTTGGTGTTGTTCTTGCATGAAGATGGACCGATGCATCAAGGCCTCATCTGCTGTAATCAGAGGTTCTCCACTGGTAAAGAAGTCAAAATGATGTTTCATCGCTCACCTATGACGATGAGAGCCGGTGATGACCAGAAGAACCAGATCCTGGAAACTGGTTGCTGGAATGAGCTTCTTCTGAGCGGTTTTCAGGCTCAGCCTTTGAGATTAAGAGCAGGATCGCCATTATTCAGGTGGACCTGTGAGGACCTCTGCTCCTCCTCATCAAAGGGAGTCAGCTGAGGCGATTGGAGATCAAAGTTTCTGACTCTATGCTGTTTGTGTATAGCTGCAGTTCATTAAAGCTGCTTTGCTTCACTTGGTTCAG